TATATATATATATAGAGAGAGAGAGAGAGAGAGAGAGAGAGAGAAATTAGATTAAAAAAACACTTTTTATTTCTACAAAACTGGGGGTTTCCGTCATATTTGACATTTCACGAAATTTTTATAATTAGCACAGTTGCGTGGGTTAAAGATAGACAAAAAATTTTATAACAGTCAAGAATAAATGTGGCAAAATTATAACAATTATAGAAATAGCCTATTATTCTTCAAAAAACATAATTTCAAAGGACAATAAGAGCCCTCCAATAACAAAATCATACTCCACCGACGCCCAATAAATGATTTTTTACCCCATAAAGAAAAACTGGATCATTAAGAGTAGGGAAAAGAAACTACTTTTAAAGGGCAGGAGATATTTAGATACCTATATGATATTATTGAATTTTGTGCCATCATCAATCAATTTTTGTCAGTTAGCTTGGCATTGAAATAGTATCTTCACCAATCAGTTAGTTACATGGTAATAGTTAAAAGGAATTCTTTAATGATATATTTGTTCAAGAAAATCTATCAATCTGTTTGAGTGAAACATAAAATTCAACACTATGAAATTATTTTCAGACAAGCTTTAAATAGAGAATAGTTAAACAATTAAAATTACAATTTATAACTTATAAATGCCAGTGGGTGCTCAAGAAGAAAACAAGTTGCCTAAACGGATTTTTAGTATAAAATAGCTTATAACGCCATATAATTTTAATTTCTAGCGGGACATTATTATTTGTTAAAATTTTATGGCTTTAACAAATGTTTGTTTAGATTTTTTTATCAGCTGCGGTTAAGGAAAAAAACCTAATAAATTCCTAGTCCATGGCAAAATAAAGTAAATCTGAATATTTGATTTGCACGATCTCAATCAGAATTACTAGTAAATTAAGTTTGAATCTTTTAATTTTAACGAAACTAATATTTGCAATGCTTAACTGTTAGAAATTTCTCTGAAAAAATTACTAAATAGCAATTTATTTAATTGTTATTTTACCATATTCAACCGAAACACTCAAATAACCATTGAAAAAAAGATGATATTCAAACTGTTTAGAGTGAGAAAAAAAAACTTCTATTGATTGTTTTTTCATAATACAGTTAAACAACTAGTTTTCTATCCGCACCAACTACGCCCACCTTATAAAGCCATTTTGTAACGTGTTACTGGGTACATTATGTAGCTGAGATGGCTACTCGGTCAATCTCATCACCCGCTGAACAGGGGTTCGAATTCCTTTATTGATACTGCATTCTTTCTTTCAATATATGAAGAGTTATCAGAGTTTTGCACTTTTTAATCGGTGAGCCTGGGAAATAAGGTTGCAGTCATTGACGCATAAATAGCGCTGCACCCGCAGGTTCCCAATGTCTTTTTAAGTTTCATTTCTATGGTTTAGAAACTATGCTAGTCATTAATGGTTACAAAACCGTATAGTTTTGTATTAACGGTTTTTAACCGTACCAACTGTAAACTGATTCAAAACCGTAAAGGAATAAAAGTGTTTCAAACCATCTCTATGGTTAATCGGATGGACAGAATGCTGCAGCGTATTTTACCATAATTTCAGAATGAAAATTCTAACAGTATCGATGGAATAACTGAAAAAAAAATGGAATTTCAAAAATCAACTCAAAACTTTCGCAGAATTATAAAATCAAAATTCAATTAATATGGAAATCTCTAATTTGGTTTTAAAAAAAACATGCAAAAAAGTGTTTAAATTTTTTCGTAATAACAAATGTAACACGCTCAGTTAAGTTAACTTTTTGAATGGGTGCGAGACAAATTTTCAATTACTATTATTTTATTTCGCTTTTTGAAGGATTTTTTTAAATTTTAGTTTTGGTCAAAGAAGTAATAACTTTTTAAAATAGAAAATCTTGCATAACTGTGCAAGATGAATCGCTGCACCGTCTATAAGGACTTGCATTTATTTTTCCTTGATTTAAAAAAATAATAATAAAAATAATGAAATACGTAAATTTATTTTTTATTTTCTAACCATCGTTGCACAGCCGATACACTTTTTGGGGGTTTACGACTACTAATGTTCAATTCCGTAGCCTTGCAATTTTGAACCCCATTCAGAAGACAAGGGAACTCTCAGATCAAGTATTGAGAGAAAATTCGCCTTCGTAGAGGACTTTTTTGTGAAACTAACTCGCATTTGCGTTACACGCAGAGGAAAACCACGAAAATCTCCAACGGGTAGCCCAACTGCAAAGGGACTCTAAGCCATGGTCCACCTACCACTGAGGATATTTTACGACAGCACTGTTGTTGGAGCGAGCCGGGTGCAGAAGTCGTATCTACCAGCCATCGCTGAGATTCGAACCCGGTTCACCTCATTGGAAGGCAAACGCTCTATCCCCTGAGCCATCACGGTTCAATGAAATATGTAAGCAGTGATTGCCGTATTGAAAAGAGATGAAAACTCCAATCAATCACAAAATAATATATTCTAAGGATTGAAATATGATCTAGTGTACAAACAAATAAAAGGGGTATAATTAACTCATTTTGGAATTATTACTGTTTACACTAATCGACTGTGGATACCCACTTCTTTTCGAAAATTATGTAGATGAATTAAAATATTTTTAACATAGCAATTTTTTAAGTGAAACTTTTTTTTAAAATTTATTTATTAGCAAAATATTAGTTAAAACTTAAAGTAAAATCGCAATTAACGATTCAATTCCAGAAAATTGATTACATAGGAAGATAAAATTGATGTCAAAGGAAGAAATAAGGGAGCAAAAAATAATCTCTTCCTTTAAAAATTTACTTTGAAATTACTTTGTTTTGTTACGGAAAATATGCTACTCTAAAATAAAATAATAATCTGTATATTTTCCTTGCGCAATAGGGCCATATAGTTTAAATTAACTAGTTGAAATCTATGTATTAGAAAAATACACACAGAAGAAATTTTGTATTAATGTGCGTATGAATAAGAGATTAAAAAAATATTTTTTTCAATAGCTATTTTTGAAAACTTTATACTCACATCTTCATTTCATTTTTTTAAATTTTCAACAGCGAATACACAACTAATTTAACTCATTTAGGTGAGATTTAAAAAAAATATCGAATTATAGTTTTTAATAGGTTAAATAATTAATTCAGAAAACTATCAAAGTTTATTGAATTTTTTTAATAAGGTTTTGCTTATAAATAAACTATCAAATCGCAAATTGCCTTTTCACATGCAATTTGTGTTTTGATAGATAACCTACCTCTAATAATTTTTAAAAAAATTATATAATTATCTTTAGCTAACGAAAAAAAGTGAAGTAAAGTGTAAAAAAGTGAAGTGAAGTGTAAAAAAGTGAAGAAAAAAAAGTTTTTGAGCAAAAGTTTTAGAATCTTTTAAAAATGGAAAATTGTATAGCTCAGAAACAAGGTTATTTTTTAATTTGAAACAAATTCTACATTTTAAATATATACCCAGTTTTAATCCAAAGAATTGTTTTAAAATTTCACAGCTATCTATAATAAAGTAATCTAACTCATGCAAAAAATTATAAATAATTCATAAAAGATTTTATTATTGACTCTATTATTCTTGTTTTCTTCTTTTTAATGAATAAAAAATGAATACACTAAATAACACGATAATCAAAATGAATTTTATGGCCTAAATGGTGAAAAAAAATTTGAAAGAAAAAAAAGGACTAAACAAAAACAAAAAATGAACTAAAACAAATATTTTATGTTTGATGAAAAAAAATACTTAAAATATTTTTTTATTTTTAATGTTGATTATTTTCTTTCACATCTGTTTTAAATATGAAATAAATATTTAAGGAAGGGTCACAAAATAGTAAAATTAAATACAAGAAAATGTTTTCAATAAGTTTTAATTTATCAATTCAAAGATAAATAAAATAAAATAAAGTAAATAAGTATTAAATAAATCTGCAGATTCACTTTTTTTTTTTTATCTAGCGTGTTATTACAGAAATTAAACGATCAACTCAGATTGTAATTGAAAATCAAAATTAGTCTCCTTCTCAGACTCCGAAAAAAACAGAAAAGTAAATAAAAGAACAAAACTTACTGTCAACTGTTGCGATTTGGAGTTGTCAGTCTTTGGCGATTTATAATTAGGCATTTCAACCACTCATTAACTTCGGAATCGTTTGAAGTCCTACTATGACTTCAAACATTCCGCCTGCCATTCAAACCTCACATTTATTCCTCTGACAAAAGTGAATTCGATCGCCACTCCAAAAAATATTCTTTTCAACCACTTACCTGAAGAGAACTAATGTGATCGCGATTACTTTTTTTCCCAGTGGTTTCGCTTTGAAGCGCCCCCTCGTGGTTACGTCGAAGCACTTCATTTGATTTCCTAACTGACCACAATTGATTCCAAGAATCGCAAGAAACAGGGATTGTCGTTATTTTCTGATATTCCTTCATACACGGTTGGGTCATGTTAAAAAGGGGTAGTCAAACATGGTTGAGTTATTAGAACTTTTGGAAATTTTCCCAGATCAGTAACCTCGAAAGAAGTTTGACAAAAGAATAATAAATGACAGACGACTGTAAACTTTTTTTAGCTGCGGCAAAAAGTTAACTGTCCAATTTGTTACATAACCAAATCATCTATTTAAAATTTAATATCGCTTAGTAAATATCCATAATTACATGAAATATTCGAAATGAGCAAAATCGGCCGATCAATCAAGTAAAATTTGGAAGAAAATTAAAAAAAATGGAAAGTGAAAGTTTTTAACAGTTAGGTAGGCCTCAAAAATTAAATGAAAATTTGTATTTATGTTGGCTTTTTCGGAGAGAAAGTAAATTCACGTTTTAGAGCCTGTATTATTCAGCTTATTTTTATACAAATGAATTCAACTGTAGTATAGTTCCACAAACTAAGTGTCGTAATTTTTACTAAATGTAATGTCCCTTGTGTCGTAATTTTTAGTAATTAAAACATATTCATTACCATTGTATTATTTTATTTTAAACCCGGCGTTTAGCAACCGACCCATTCTGGAGTTTACGACTATCAATGTTCAGCTTTGTAGCCTAGTAATTTAAAAGCCAACCCAGAAGGCAAAGGAACTTCTGAATCAAGCATTGCACTTTTTGAAAGCACAAGCCCCTATTTGTGTTATATAGAAACCACGAAAACGTCTTACGGTTAGCTCGACGACAAGGGGATTCTAACTCATAATCCGTCTGCCACTGAGAATATTTTATGTCAGTACTGTGGTAGGTGCGGGGAGGGAGCAGATTTCGTATCGACCAGCCAAAACTGTGATTCTGACCTCGGTCACGTCATTCAGAGGCGAGTGCTCTATCTCCTAATACACCGCGACAATTAGCATTTCAAATAAAATAAAATTGGGAGCAGATTGTGAAAGTTAGAGTACAACCCTTTCAAAATTGTATGTCTGGCATTATCAAAAACAAACTTAACAGGGACAGGTTTTGTAATAGATCGAAAAAAATCAAGACATAAAAAAAACAGTAAAATCAGGACATTTCTTGGTATGAGGCATGATATTGTATATATGGTATAATGATACACACGTAACCAGACTAACTAAAAAAAAAAAAGATAAACGACTCAAATAAAAAAAAAATTGTAATTTTTTTATTTAACTGTATTAACAGCAAAATATTAATAAATATGTTGTTTTTAATTTCAAAATTACTTTGTTTAGAACAGAAAGTTCTAACAGGATTAAAAGAAATTATATTGTTTAACACATCCATTATAGTTAAAAATAATTTTAATAGCATAAATTTTAGATTATAATATAATAGTCCCATGTAAAAAAATAATAAAAAACACTTCATCCTAATTAAAATAAGAAAAGTAACCGAGATATCGATATTTAAAGTTTGTATCCAATATGAGTGTGATATTTGTTTGCTTACAGTTCTATTTGATCAACAAAAAGTGCATGTACTTTAAGATTCAATTACTTTTTATTTGCTATGTGAGTGCAGTTTAAATAAAAAACAAATATGAATTAATAGTATTAAAATTAAACGCAGTTTAAATATCGATATTATGGAAATAAGTGTCCTATTGACTATTGAAAGGAATATATATGTAACAGAAAAATTCACTTGATATTAGTAAATTTCGACAACGAGTTGGCCGCTAGAAATAGCATCTCGGTAAGTGATGTTAAATGTAGTTAAACTATACGCATTCCGTCCACAGTGACGTAAGCTATCCTCAGCATAGAGTATATTTACATAGAGTACAGCTTATTTATAACTCTATGATCCTCAGTGGTAGAGGATCATGTGCTAGAGTTGTCCTGCCATCAGACTAACCGTGAGAGGTTTTCTACTCCATAAAACGCAAATGCGGTTAGTTTCATCAAAAAGTTTTCTACGAAAGCTAGTTTGATCCAGGAGCTCCCTTTGTTTTGTGTTAAGCTCAAAATTATTAGGTTACGGAGTAGAACATTAGTAGGTGTAAACCCAAATTTGGGACGGCTGCTCAACGACAGTCATAAAATAAGTTATGCTTAGATTAAAGTGAAAGCAAAAACAATTCTGCTACAGTTAACTTACACATATTGAGGCAACCACCTTGTAATTTTCATTGATTTATACTTACCCCTAAGAATGTCACTTACCTGGTTCTTTCACTAAGCTCTTCAGTAGTGTCAGCATTCGCGTTTTAGATTTGGGTATGATTTCGTAAAGTTGTTCAGTACTGGTTTTTTTATTTACCTCGTACGAAGAACGGTTATTAAGCATAATCTTTAAGTTGTGCAATTTTCATTTAGTAGTACAATTTTCTTAATTCAGAAAAAGAAAATTTTGTGTGATAAATACTTTTTTTAGGATGTCTAATTTGGTTATAATGCATGCATTAAAAAGATCGAGATTTTATAAAACACGTGTTAATCCGATATAATAACCTTTTAAAACTCGATGGAAAAGTCACTTAGATTAACTATAAACTGAACACAAAGAGCTTTAAAAGTGATTACTAAAATTTGAAATTCAGGTATCATAATTTTGTCGAAATAAAAATATTGGGATTTTTAAAACTTCGTTAATCGGAAATTTATTGCGATAACCACCGAAAAAAAAGTGATCGAAAAACTACATTAATTTACATTTGGCTCGCTACAAAATGCGCAATTCAAAATTTTCAAAAAAAATTATAATTTTTCTTATTCTATTCAAGAGCTGCCGTGGGCCGCAAATTGAGTACCTATCATAGTGTATCATTTCTGGATCATACGCCCCTCCCCTCGCACAGCGGGTTTATTATTTACACTACTGTTTATAACCCTTGGATCAAGAGGTATTCAGTGTGTAGTTTTTTTGAGATTGCACACTGTATATGAAACTTAATTTGATTAAAAACTTGAATACTTACCGCAATTTTTAAAATTTATCACTTTAATTTAGCTACGTTTTTTTATGTAATTAGAGATGATAGTTTCTAAAAATAATAATATTAGAAGAGGTAATCATCTATAATGAGTGTTTTAATAAAATTAACTAGAAAAATCACTAGTAAGAAGAGTAAAATAAGATTTAAAAAATAAAAATTTTGTTTTATAAATTTGTTTAAAAACTCGGCATTACTTTCGAGATTACATATATATATATTTATTTTTTTCGAAATACGAATTCACTTTAAAAAACAAATAAGATTTTTATAAAATAAATTATATTTTTAATACAAAGAATTTCTTTTAAGAAAAATAAGAACGTTTTTAAAGCTATATAGTTAGCATGTTTTTAAAAAATAATTAAAAATATTTTAAAAAAAGAAGAATGTTTTTAAAAAATAATAATATTCATAAAAATAAGAATTTCCTTAAAAAAAAAAAACAATATTGAAAATTAGATCTTCCTTAAAAAAAAAAAACTTTGATTCTAAAACCTTAATAAGATTCTTTTAAAATATATATAATGTTATTTAAAATAAGAATTCCCTTTTAAAAGAATACGTATGCTTTTCAAAACAGGAAATTCTTATATTTCCTAAAAAAAAAAAAAATTAACATTTATTTTTTAAAAATAAATTTTAAAGATAAATGCGTATAAAATTTTTGATTGTTGAAAATATAATTCAGTTAGTTCTTCTCGCTGTTTCAAACATCCTAAGTGTATGATCTTGTAATCTCTTTTTTCTAAAAACCTTCCACAGTTCCAAGTTGAATGGTTTAAAACTAAAAATTTGTTGAAACGATTGCAAGCGAACCTTTCAAATATGAGGATGCTCTTCCTCGCCCTACATATTTCATTCGGATGAAAACTGGACCCCAAGGATAAAACAACTTCAAAAATTTTGTTTACTATTGTTGCATCAAAAAAAATATATTATATAGTATTAATCAGTTAATGTTACTTTAATACAATTAAAATTAGCAATTGAGTTTAAGATTTCTTTAATCAAATAATTTTACGGAATGATCAATTTTAAAATCAAATAAAAGAGACGAATCAATAATTCTGAATTTACGCAAGTCCACCTTGCATAATTTGCTATTGCATTGGAATAAATAATAAATAGGTATATGATCCTCGAATTCATCACCATAAAAATTTGATAACATAAAATTGTTAATTGAATTTCTTTCCAAGAAAAAAAAGTTAAAACAATGAATACTGCAGGTAAGGCTTGATGTCTGAACTAGGTAAAATTAGTAGATGGTTCTCGCAAAAATTGGAACTATCAAATTTTTGTATTTCTACTAACGATATTAATAAAAATATAATGGATCAAAAATCAAAACTTTTCGGTTTTTCAAATCTATTTCATTAAATATCTGAATTTTTGTATTCTTAGAAAATGGGATAATCACTCATAAAAATCAGGACAACTAAGAACCCTGCAAGGAAACGACATTTTTCTGATTGAAGTAAACATGACCCTTGCAAAACAGAATTAAGTTTAGTCTTTCAGATTAGTTAATTTATAAAGCTTTTTTTCGCTCAATTAGTTAATTTTTGTACACTAAATATATATATACTTCAAAGGGTTTTGCAAGCAACAACTCCGATTCAATAAATTATAAGCACAATAAAAATCATAACAGCAGACTTAATTTTCGCAGTTTCTTGTAGACAAGCATTAATAGTTTAAATGTTGGAAGTTTTGATTTACTGCAGTATTGTTTACTTTCTTAGTGATTTAAGCATGCCAGCTATTTCTATTGTACATATAATAAAACAAGATTGAGAAAATAAGCTTGCTCCAAACATAATCTAGAAAATTTTAGCACTATCGATTAGTTTGAGATTACTTGTACCTGCATTGATATTCAATATTCCACAACTGAAGCAAATA